AGAAACAAGAAATGTACATGTCTTAAGTGAAAAAAAAAATGGAGTTTGTAAAAAAAAAAAAAAACACGATAATGTTCAAAATTTTATGCTTGTTTTGAAAATTCCTATGCAGTACAGTATTTGGGAAATATTCGTCATTCTTTAATAATGACAAATAAACCTTTTCTAAGTAAGCTTAAGTGTTCTTTCACAAACTAAACAATAATGTGTAACAAGTGTCAAATTAAAAAAAAATAATTTAGCTTGCTAAATACTACTATATAGCTGTAGTTTTCAGAAAAGTGCTTGGATCAGTACATCCTAAGGATGTTTGTGTGCATTTGAAGGCAGGCTTGTATGCGTGTTAATCTGTGAATGAATGTTTCATACTAAGCATTTGTGTGTACACTTACAAATTAACCCTTTGGATGTCTTATTTGATGTTATTGAATTTCACTTCTATTCCATAGGCTAATTTTCAACCGCAGTAGAAATTTATTTTAATTTCCACTATAAGTACTACTGTATATGGTTGTCGTCTCCCGAGTGTTGCTGTACAGTGCCCAGCTCTGGTTGCATGTTTGGCTCCCCCTCACCTGAGTTTGTGATATATTTATAGAATTTCTTACAATAGACACTACAGCAGGGGTGTCCAAAATGTCGATCATGATCTAACAGTATATCGCAAAGCAATTTCTGGTAGATCGCTGGATGGGTAGTAGCGGTGTGGTCCATCAATGGGGATCCTACAAATACCTGTTTGTTATTAAAAAAAATAAATAAATCTTGACATGTTTTGTCTTTCCAGCTAGCATTCATTTTGCAAGGAAAGACACATTTAAATAATTTGGGGAATATTCAATTAGTAGTGTCACAGAAAATTATACCACTTACATAAAAATCTGTTATGCAGTGCAAACATCACATCAGTAAAGTAAGTTCTTCCTCATACCTTTCTTAGATGTATGCATTGAAAATTATATTAGCACTTTTCCTCTCTCCATTAAGACTCAAAGCCTATCCTTATCTGCTGGAGGTTAGGAAAAATTGTGTGGCCACCCCTGCACTACAGTATTTACAAGATTTATAGTACAGTATATACTAAGGTTTCTCTTTGCTGGGAATAAAACTATTTTATCAATTTTCAACTCAAAATTTTGTCAGAAGTGTTCAGATTTCTCCATATTGTCTTGTTCTGTTACTTTGTCTAGTTTGAAGATTACATGTCAGTTTCATGTGGCTTCTTTTTCAGTCATTATTTTCATTGTTGACTTCTTCGTTTGATTTTTTTTTTAGGGGAGAGATTTTAATTTTGCAGCAATTTATAATACATAATGTCAGTTATACAAACATCATTGTCATGTGAATTGAAAAAAAAGGGGGGTAAAAAACGGGTGAACACTCACTTTTGGGTGAAGAATGGAAGCCTTTCGTGGAACTCCCTAGAAATCTATTGTGGCATCCAAGGGTTAATGAGAAAGGTCTTAGTACAGGATGTTATTTTTTTTATTGTGGTCTGTGCCCTCTCAACACATTGGACAAAAACAAAATGAAGTATTATCTACCAATATCCATGTAAATCCTGCCTTGAGCATATTGTTGTAGAGCACTTCACAGTCTACAGTAAAATCCCTAATTTACGTGGTACTGTATTTTACTATTTTGCCGCAGTGCCAGTATTGCAGAATGAAAGTAAGTGATTTATAAAATTTGAATTTGGCTCTGTGTACTATCCAAATAACTGGTATGCACAAAATTCAGTCAGTTTTATTTTAATCACTTGTGTATGGTGTCCTCTCCCTGCTGACTAAAATTTTCAAAGTTAAAGGTTCATAAGAGTCCTGGCCCTGACATGGTGCATCCCAGAGTGCTGAGAGAGTTGGGCAATGAGCTTGCTGAGCCCCTGAAGATCCTGTTCTGGAAATGCTTGGATGAGCAAAAGGTTCCCAGTGATTGGAAAGTGGCTTATGTGAGTCCTATTTTTAAGAAGGGCGATTGTCACTCCACAAATAATTATAGACCAGTGACCCTGACCAGTGTAGTATGTAAAGTACTTGAGAGCATTATATGAGATGCCTTGATGCAACGTCTACTACGAAGCAACCTTTTAAAGGATTGCCAAGATGGTTTTATGCTGGGATGCTCCTGTTAACACAATTACTCCAGGTATTGGATGTTTGGACCCAAATTCTGGAATAGGGTGGCAATATATACCGGGTATCTTGATTTTGCCAAGGCTTTCAACAGCGTACCCCATGAAAGGCTGAAAATTAAACTGAAAGGGTAGGGATTCAGGGAAGTGTCCTAGTGTGGATCGGAGACTTTCTATATGGTCGCAAGCAGTGTGTGTGGTGATTAATAGAACGAAATCGTCATGTGTATCTGTGACAAGCGGGGTACCACAGGGCAGTGTATTGAGCCCATTGTTGTTTGTTTGTTTGTTTCATAAATGACATGCCAGAAGCTATACACTCCTCCATGTAAATATGTGTGGACGATGCCAAGTTATTTAGGGAAATTAAGAGCCATTCAGACTGTGAAGAGCTGCAGAAATATCTCTGAGCTCAAGAATGGTCGAAGAAATGACTGCCAAGATTCAATGTCACGAAGTGTAAGGGGATGCACCTGGGATGTACCAATGGTAAGGAGGTGTATCATATGTCCCAACAGGATGGAGAAGCTGCATTAATAGAAACTGAGTGCAAAATGGACCTGGGTGTGTATCTTGACATTGAACTGAAGTTCTCGGGCCATTGTGAGAAGGTGACTCAAGCAACTAAATTATTAGGTCTTGTCAGAAGGTCGTTCAGATATCTAGACGGTCTGTCCCTAATAACAATTTTTAAGGGCGAGGTGCTTCCCCTCCTGGAGTATTGTCACCCCGTCTGGTCCCCAAAATATGCCTGGGACTGTCAGTTGATTGAAAATGTCCAAAGGAGGGCCACCAGACTGGTGCCAGCACTTCGGCACCTCGGCTACTCAGAGAGATAAAGCGCCTGTAACTGCCGAGCTTAAACTACTGACGAGCGATGGGGCACCGAACTGAGGTGTATAAACATCTCAAAGGGCACTATTCAGTCAAGTGTCCATATCTAGAGCTGGCGGATGCCTGCCCCACAAGGGGTCACAGCCGCAGGAAAACTGTGAGGGCAAACTTTTTTGGAGTGAGAGTTGTGAACTCTTGGAACAGCCTGCCAGAGAGTGTTGTGATGGCACCGAGTGTCGGCTGTTTCAAGACCAGGCTTGACCAGCACTGGAGCAGGTTCAGATACATTCAGGAGCCAGTGCATGCCTTGTACTTGCAAACAGTATGTAACATTTGCCAACAGTATGTAACAGAGACGTGACTGATCGCCCAAGCAACTAATGAGCTGATCAGTGGCAAAGAGGATAAAAGAAGTCTGGCATTCCTGTAGTGGAGGGGTTAAGGCAGGTATGATGATATATTTACAGTAAACATGATTTTGGTCAGGTATTCTTCAGTACTTAAGGTTTTGGCAATGTTTTGTGAGAGCTGTTGTGGAACTGTAGATAAACCACAAATTAATTTCAGCAGTGACACTTTCTCTCATTAACACCACTGCTTCTCACCACATGCAGTTGTTATTGGTTTAGTTATATTTATATAATTTAGAATATTTATACAGTAAAAGTTCTGTGACTCAATTTCCAGCTTCTTATGTTACAACACACAACTTACTCTCAATTACAGATACTTTAATATATGTTTGTGCAATTGTGTACTGTACAGTACATGGATGTTTTATTGTTTTTATGTAATGTATTATGTATGCACAGTATTAAATAGTCAATTATTTCTGTAATACTGCACCTAATATTTTTTGCAGAGATGTACAGTATACAGTATAGTAATATTATATTGTTTTTATGTGATATGCAGTATATAAATCAATTACATTACATAATTGTAATTACACATTGATCTACAGTTTTTTAATGAAGGAAAACATAAGGCTACATGTGTATTTTCCAAGGTTATTCATGTGTTTGTGTCTTTCACCATAATACTGAGGGAAAATCTTTTCTATGGAATGAATTCAGTACCAAATCACATCGTTAATATGGGATTTTACTGTATGTACTTGTACATTATGTGCAATTAAATTTTGATATATTTTTACCTTAAATCATTGCCAGGTTCTGGTTTATACAACTACTGTACCTGCTTCAGCTAGTCAGTGGTCAATTTTAATTTATACTGTCTTAATTCCTTTAACCATTCACTGGTCAGTTCTCATACACTTTACCTGCTTTATCCAAATAGTAGTCAGTTTCCATTTACTTGGTACAATGTACAGTTTTAGCTCCTTTAACCAATCAGTGGTCAGAATGCCACCAGATTATTAGGAATATAAGCACAGAGAAAACACAACTTGATCACCATTTCTGTGGCCTTGCTGGCTTTTCTACAACTTCTCTTTTGCACAGAAGTATTTACAGCTCGTGATTATCATCTAATATACTTTAGGAATAGCCATGTGTCTGTTCTGGGCAGCCGAAACGGCACAATCGTTTTTCATCAAACTTGGTGGAAAAATCACAAAAAATTCGTAGAGTGGAACAAACTTGGTCCCATGTCGATGGTTTCTTTAGGAAGGCATTAATTAACCATTTTATTTATGCTCGCTGTACACTGTCAGCCGGATGGCGAACCGGGCACGAAGGGCCCACGATCACTTGTAGGTTACTAAGGGTTAAGCATAATCAAAACCAAAACCAAAAGGAAAAAGGCTGTGGAAGCTGGACTGGGAAGATTAGGTATTTTGCATCAGGCTACTCAGGATATGGTGCAGAGTGACTGATCCTGGCTGATTTCAAACAAATCCCCTTGTCCGCCCATATTAATGTAGTTCAGATATTCCCAAACAAAGATTGAACCTAAACCTTGGACTGATCCCCAATCTAACGATATTTCAGTTACATTTGTGAACACTTATAGTTTATACTGTCCAGAGTTTTATGTGTGTGTGTGGGTGTATCACAGGCTTTTTATTTTACAGATTCAGCTTGTGACAATGTGACAGGTTTGAATGGTGGGTGCAGTTAAGTCAGTCTTACATGGCACATGGCTTGAGTGTTGTAGAAATACAGCTGGCATCTGTTAAATGTAAGATATGTGAATTTTCTCATACAGTTTTGTAGAGCATGACACTTGAAAAGAGCCATTTGTATCAGATGCTACCTTGCTTCACATCCAGCCATTCGTGAAGCACATTATTTTTTGCCCTGTTCAGAGAAAACAACTAGATGCATCTCTTTTTTGCAGTGTAAAATGTGATATCCATTGTGGTATGTCAACTGTAGATGAAGAGTTCATTTCCAAAATGTGGTGTATGTCATTTTCATTCCATGGAAATGACATATGAATTGCTTTTAAATAAAATGTCACATATGCCAGTGTATAATTACAGAAATGTGATTTCATGTCATCTCACAATTTGAACTGCTTTCCTTTTAAGCAGGAAGTGGTTCATAAAGAAATAAAATGACATGCGTACAGTCATGCTTTTCTTTAAATGAATTCTTCTGCTACAAATTTACAGTTTTCTTGAGTAAACACAAACAAAATGCAGTACAAAGTACTTATTAACTGATATATTCAGTGATGAGAAAGTGGACTGACAAGACTAAAGGAGAAAGTTGTAAATGGTGCTTGTGTGTACCAAATGTGGCACTAGTGTCAAAAATCAAAGAAACTGGCTCCTCTTTTTATTTGTATTATACACAATTGTTATACATGAATTTTAATTGTACATTTCTTATTAATGGAATTTTAAAAAATCTGAAAATAAAAAATCTGAACTGTTCATTGCTTGTCATTGGGTAGAACACAAATTTTTATCACCCAGCAAATACGTACTGTACCAGTAGGTTCTCATCACACCCACATAGTACAGTACATGTACCGGGTATATGTTTACGTTTTTACATACAGCTTAATATGAGCCATTACAGATATTAGTGATGATCTCAACATGTACGGTATGTAAAATTGTGTTTTCTGTGGTAAAATCCCCAGAGTCTGTAGAAGAGAATGAACAATATCCCCCAGTTTAGGGGCGCCATTTTTATTATACAGTATTTACACATTCACTATTTTATAAGGTGTGCGGGATTTGAGATTCCTGCTCCCTTACAATTTTATATATGCTGAGTTTATATTTCTTGTTCAATTTGTCTTCTTTCTTTTCTTTACTTCTTTATAATTGTTTCTATTTAAAACTTTCTTTTGGTGGTTTTGGCCAAAAATTAGATTTTGCTGAATACTGTATATGGTCCACGATTCGGTTGCTGGGTAATTAGTGCCTGTAATGACGCTTGAACGATTTGAATGACATTTTTCAATGCTATTACTCACAGCTATGGGTTTCCAAAGTGCAATTTAGGTGTTTTTGTGTTATTCTGGAAGTACTTAATTAGTTAAACCCCTTACATTTTTGGTGGTTTGAGCCAAAAATTTGATTTTGCTGAAAATCACAGTATAGGTACTCCTGAGCTTGTTGATTCTGAATATATGGTCCATGATTCAATTGTGGGGTAATTAGTGGCCGTAATGAAGCTTGAAATATTTGATTGACATTTTTCAATGCTAATTACTCATCAACTGGGAGGTCCCCTGGGGGTGCTGCCACCACTGGCAGGGCCCCTGAGGGCGCCATTGTACCTGTGAAAGCCCTTGGAAGCACCACCGCCCCTGGCAGGGCCCCTGAGGGCGCCATTGTACCTGTGAAAGCCCTTGGAAGCACCACCGCCCCTGGCAGGGCCCCTGAGGGGGCTGCTGTCCCTGGGAGTGATGCCTCCTCTTGCAATGCCCCTGGGAGGGCCCCTGGGGGTGCCAGCGCCCCTGACATGGGCCCCTGAGGGTGCCGCTTTCCCTGGGAGGTGCCCCTGGGGGTGCTACCGCCCCTGGGTGCACTGCTGGGGGCACCACCGCCCCTGGCAGGGCAACTAGGAGGGCCCCCAGAATCCCCCTGTGGTGAATATAGGCTGAATCTAATATGAAATATGGAGTTAGGGGAAATGACCTCTGTGAGACATACAGTACTTATAGTCCTATAATGTATAACTTGAGGTTAAAAATAAGTACAGGTTATATGCTATATCTTATTTTTTATTATAATGTATAAATATACTGTACAGGTATTAAAAAAAAATTTAAAAGTGTAAAGTAGCAATCCCCCTATGACTTTGTGTATCTGGCCTTAATCCCCAGAAAATCTGGACTAACCCTTCCCCAGTGTAAAGGGGAGTTTACTGTACTGTATTATCTGTCAAGTGATTTACGAACACCTGCACTTATGAAAGGGATCCCAATACAGGAAGTCCCTGAGGTCTGAACGGGGTACATTCCTGGAGCTTGTTCGTAAGTCGGAACAGTGTTAATTCCATAGTTTAAGTTAGGTTAAATCACTACCCTGCTCATACAGAACAGCAATAATATCCCATACATAACAAATAATGTAAATACTGTGAAGAAAGTGATATTAAACAATAAATAATAATGTAAGTACAGTAATGTAAAATATGGGATTTTTGTGATGAAAATATTGTGATCCCATTCATAAGTGCAGGTGTTCATAACTTCAGTACTTTATATTATTCAACATCACTATATTTACAGATTTTCGTTATTTCTTATGTAAAGGATATTACGGTGATATCTCCGTTAGCCAGAACAATTGGTACAGAGCACTTCCGGGAAACGAGACGACTCTCTCAAAGCCGGAAAAAATCCCTCATCCTCGGAATTTTTCTGGAATTTGCAGGGTATCGGGAAAAATTTGTCTGAATTTTCCGGAAAATGTGCCCCTCGGAAAATCGTTCCCAAGGCCGGAATTTTTCGGAAAATTTAGACTGGGAACAATTTTCCGAGAAAATTTCAATTCCAGACATCGGAGAGTTCCGGGTTTGAGAGATTCCGGCTAACGGAGATATTACTGTTGTTTTGTATGGCCAGGGTTTTGCTTTAACCTAACCTAACCTATGGAATTAACAGTTCCGACTTACAAGCAGATCCAAATGTAACCTGTTCATAACTCAGGGACTGCCTCTACAGAGTTATCAGAAAAAAAAAGTGATACCACATTTAAAAAATAAGCAAGTAGTCTTTGATTATCTCAGGTAATTTGGGCCCTGTCTTACCAGGTATTTCCATAAAACTCTGCTTTAATACACCTGATAGCAACTTGGTCACCAAAACTGTACCACTCCTATGGTCTGCGCTGCATTTTCTGGGCTGGTGCCTTGGGTTTGCAGTGGAGAGTGTGGGGGAACATCCCTTTCTGGTTTTACCAACAGCTGCCATCAGGCAATCTCAGCTAACCCACACACAGGAGTGGAAAATGGCCGTAAAATATTGATGATGATAAGTGAAGAATATTCATCATCTGAATGTTCCATCACTGGGTATATTTTTCTGTCTAACTGTTGCAAATCTACGTTCTGCTGCATGAAGGCGGTGTTCCACCTCACTGATTCTGAAAAATTATGTAAAATTTAAATTATATTCATCAGTAATGGCTAAAAGGTCCTTGGTGATGATGAGTAACAGCTACATGATCTAGAATACTCATACAGTATTTTGGTTAAATCTGATCATAAATCATGAAATTAATCATTCATGACTATAAATTATTCATGACTAAACAGTGAATGGTATATCTTGAGAGTAATAAATCATTCATGACAGTGAAAAAATAGTTAATGCTATTCAGTACTCTCAGTTAACAGTGAAGCATGCAAGGACTTGCCTCTCTTTGTACTGGTCAGCAATATCTTTTGCAACAGCCAGGTTGGTGTTGGCTTCGTGGAGAGAATGAGTCAGCTGTTGATTCTTTTTTTTACTTTCTTCCAGGCAATGCTTAAGATCTGTTATTCTTTGTTCGAATTCAATTTTCTGAGCAGAAACATGTGATTGAAACCTGTAAAAAATAATTCCATCCACTACAAGTGACTAACATACAATACAATATAAGATACTGTACCATAAATTACTACATGTAATAGTACGATAGTACCCTGAATTAAAGGCCACAGGTTACAAATTATGAAACAAAATTAAATTGTGGTCAGACAACTTGAACATTAATTAAGCATGCCCACTTCAACAGGAGGAAGAGGTGCTGGTTGTCATCTTCATACTCACTCACCTTTAACTTACATGTGTAGTGTACAGAGTAAATCTTAAGTATTCAAACTGATTTCCAATACAGTCCTGTACTTCACATCAATTCTCTGTTTATGTTATGCTGAATTGTTAAGATCATTGAACTTACTTTGAATAATTCTCTTGTATGACTGCAGTGTTCTCATACATCTGGGATACAGCATCACGGTGAGCAGAATCTGAAGCATCCAGACGAGCTTGACCTGTGGCTGACATGTCTTCCAATTCCTCTGTTTTCAGTCTTTATACATGAAAAAATATATACTTATGACACAAACTGCCTTAGCTATGAAAGCAATATCATACTGGATATGTGTATTAAAGGGGAGACATATTGAAACAAACTCTAACATAAATTAACTTTTCAAAAATGTTATCAGTAGCTCGAGTACACGTTTAACTTGTATAAGGGGAGACTTAACAGACTGCCCTAACATATTGCATGTACTACAGGAATACCCCTGATCAATATTTGCAAAGCATACCCTACTTATTCACAAAGAAATATTATGATACGCTACAGTAATATTTTGAACCGTATGGGCTAGCCGCAGATCTCATATTCCACTATCAAAAGTAGTGAGTGGTGGCTCAAGCTGTGCGAGCACGCTGCACTGTGACTTTTTTTTTTGTGTGTATTCAACACCTAGCCATATGAGCATCTAATTTGATATGTTGCATCGTGTGGCGTAATATATCACAATAATTATTCTTAATGCCTTCAAATTGCCCTTCCTCCACCTTTGTTTTATCTGCAAGTTTTTGCAGTTGAGAGTGATGAGGAGAGTGATGCTAGTGTCAGTGCCATCTCAAGTGGGGAGGCCAATGATCCCGGCGCCTCTTCACCCCAGTAACTCCCCACCCTCTCTTTCTCTTTATGCCAGTTCCAGTATGCCATCAACACTCACAGCAAAGGTAAATGCCAGTTTAAATGTTTACACTCATTTTCAAATGTCATACAGTGTACACATACACACAGTGTTCTTTTGTATTGTTTTTATGGTATTGTCATTATTTTATTGCATTATATTGTATGTACATGTACAATATACAAAAAAAAATATAGGGTGAAAGGTGCAATGACTTTTAGGAATGGATCCTTTGGCAGTAACCGGGGTATTACTGTATTACCCTAACTGAAACCAGATGTTAGCGAGACCAGGATATTAAATGCTGACAATGAACTGAAGTCCTCAGATCACTGTAGTAATGAACCTTACAAATAATCTAGTTGGATTGATACAAAACATTCCTAAATGGTCCATTTCTAATAAGACATTTTTAAAGGCATTGTGCTTTCATATTTGGGGGTACTGTACTGTAATTGTTTGGTCTACTAGATATGCTTAAGACTGCAAATTAATTAAGAATGTCCAAAGAAAGGCTACCAGATGGGAGCCCCTCGTTAGGGTATTACGTATTCAGTCAGCTACATGCATCTGGCAGTAACTAACGGGTGCTCCACTACGGGCCACAGCTTACAATTACTGTCACAGAAATTTTTCGCAATTATTATTATTTTTTAATAAAAGTTGTGAACTCATGGCATTAACAACCAGTGAGAACTGTGACAACATCAAAACTAAACCCTTTTAGTTTAGGCTAAACCACAAATGGCATATGATCAAACACATGCAAAAGCCTGTGCATGCCTAGTACTTGTTGACAGTACACAAAAGAAATATGATAAACTGCCCAACCAGCTACTAAAGTGACAAGTGGTCAAGTGGATATATATGTATCAGTGAAAATGTTAAATTTCTCTTCAGTAGCCCAATAGTTCTCTTAAACTTTTAAAATAAGACACTTACCCAGTACTGGTGTGACTAAAAATTTACTAACCTCAACTGCCTTTTCAAAAACTTCTCAGTAGCTTCACTGTCCTCTTTAACTTTGTTCAGGAGGGCAGAGACAGTGTTATAATTCCTCTTAACCTCCTCACACTCGAGTCTCACAGCAGCACACTCAGTGCGTGAGCTTGTCAATCTCTCCTCCAACTCAGAGATTCTCATTAAAAGTTCTTCTCTCTGGTGTTCATTTCTGTAAAATTACTGTTTTTTACCTAAACATCAAACTTATATTGAGGTAAATAAGGTGGAAAAAAATGCTAATGAAGGAAGATCAGTGATGCAGGAGTCAAAGAGCATGCAAATTATAAAAATTGAGAGGAATCCCTGTGATTTCAGCTGAGATAGGCAACTCTACGGACCAACTGGGATGCAGAAAGAAATTACTTATTTGGTTCATTAGCTTTCCTTATGAGAAAAGATGTGAACAAAAAAATAAAAAGACTGATGGATAGACAATCAGAATGTTAGATTTACAGAGAGCATTAGTCATCACAGTATCACTTCAGCTCTAGTAATCAAGGGGTAAAAAAAAAAAAAATAAGAGTACAGTAATCAACTGGTCTATTGATTTAATAATGGGAAAATTGACACAACTCACTTCGTCTATTTCCTGTTAAAAAGTAACAATTAAATACGGTAGTGCTGCTTAAGAAACAAAAGTACCTGTACTGTATTCCAACAATTACAAAATCTAATCAAATAGCTTACAGAACTGCTCCAGTATTATAAGAGTCGATATAGAGGAACCTGTAAGAGGCATGAAAAAAAAGAAAGACTGATAGGTTAATCTGCTGTAGACTGTACTGATGGAACCAATAAAAAAATCCACATGATTTCCACCACATACAATTACTGTACTTACTCCTGAGCAATCTGTAGACTTGTTGTGCACATATTATCTTTCTCTACTGAGAGTGTCAGAATTTTGGCCTCCAGCGAGTTGATGTGGTCTTGAAAGTTGACAATTTCTTGGTGATGCTGATCTCTCTTACGATTCAGCTCGCCCTGTATCTGCTCTGCCTCATTTGTTACCTTCTTCAGTTCCCTCATACTCCGCTCAAACTCTAGCTGCTTTTCATTCAAGGCCTACATCGAGAAAAATTCATTAAATATTTAATAATTTGTATAATGTTTGAAAAAATATATATACAGGGTATAAAATATAAATACAGTACTGTATGTATTATGAGATGTACGTTAATGATAACTTTTACATATACCCCTATACATTACAGCTGCTTGTGTATTTTGAATTCTGTCCAGACTCCAAACAAATGATCACTATAATGAACCACTTATAAACATACACTTCTAGAAGAATTCAATAGCAAAGATATGACCAAACTGTTGTACCCTGAAAAAGATATCTTTCACTCTTTTTTGCACTTCATCTCTCTAAAAAAAAAAATACCTGTACTCTCACCATCTCAAGATTCATGACTTCCTGTGACATTTTTTTTATGCTAGTGTTATAGTCATCCTTGATCTTGGACACTTCTGCTTGAGCTTTCTTCCCAGCTTCCTCTGTGAGCGACGAAACAGTAGTCTCCAAGCGACACACTTCATCTGCAAATACAAATCTCTTCATAAAATACCACAATGCTCTCCAATTTATGCGCTTCATCTACAAATATGTATACTTCAGATAGACCAGTCATGCTGTGTCACATATTTATAGATTCAGACTATGAAGCAAAAACTTTATTCAGAAATATCAGCAGAAGTACAGATTTATGTAGAGTACAAAATATAGGTATTGTACAGTAATTCCCATGTGGTGACAATAGTTGAGAGTGTTGCCTTATGATGTAATGTGGTTCCCAAACACGGGGTCGCATAGAGGTCATGGGGTCGATGGGGTCCCATCGAGCTCGTAGTCCAGGTGTCAAGGACTGAAGGACGTGGCCGAAGGGTGCTGTCTCGTTAAGTCGGGACCATAAATTATGGTCAAGGGAATAATGCAGTTACTCTCTTTGTGTCAACTCAGGTCAGTCCAGGGAAGGCGAACACTGATGACACGTTATGCAGCAGAAAATCCACACTCCTCCTTTGAACTGTTCTCAGCTCAATTCACTTTGTACTTCCCATGGATGAAAACAAAAAATGGCAGCAAATATTAATGATAGATTCCCTGAGTTGCTTACTGAGTCTTTGGATTTTTTCAGTTTCTGTTCAAGACAGATGTAAAACAGTGTGGCTCTTTTGTCCTCAAAATAGCAGAATTACAGACTGACAATGAGGCAAGGGTGGATTTTGCCATTATGATGACATATCAATGCTTTGGGTTATTTATCAAATTGACATTCAGTGGTTAAAAACTGAGCTATCAAAGTTCTGATTCAATTTGGAAGCACCTATGTCTGCGAGGCAGCTTTCTCGTCAATGATGTTTATAAAAAATTATTACCATAACCATATATCAAACTTAAACTTAGAAAATTGTATGATATGTTGTTTAATCACACAATTATACCCTCAGATAACAGAATTTTCTAAAAATTATAATGCATACACATAACACATGAATTATGACTGATGTAACTTGTATTGAAAATTAATTATATGATGATGCACACGTTCACATACGAAATACGTATGACAGAGTTGTAACTAAGAAAACTGTATGTTATGTTGCTTAACCATGTAATTATACCCGCAGGTATAGAATATTAAATGATGTTACAAACATGTCACACATTAAACATAACAGAGTTGTTTTCTGCCAGTGTTTACAATTAAATTTCTCAGTTATGTAATGCATATTCCTTACTTGTTTTTATGGTTAAATACATATACCCCTGTATCAATATGTCCGTATTTACTCTAAGGATCCTCATAATTATATACAGCATATGTAATGACTTAGGGTTACAGTGGATAGGCGACAGTACTAGATGGAGTCACACTACCACATGAGATAGTTTAACTTATTTCTTCATTATCACAAGGAACACTCACACTATGGCTAGTACTTACTTAAGGCATGTTTTTCGCGTAGAAGTGCTGCGTCCTTCTCCACAAGAGCATCCTCAGCAATGCGTACACTTTCAGCCACCCGTTTTTGGGCTTCCTTTAATTTGTCCTTAACATTTAAGAGAATTTTCGACAAATGATCCTGAAAACAATGATCAATTTAGCTTACCTTCAGTTACAAACCACTGCAAACACCTTCACATCTTTTTTAGTGTTGCAAAACCTCTGCCTACTACATAGCAGAGAAGCCAAAAGTAAGAACAACACAAACTCTCTCTCATCTGTTGTCAATCATTCTTTCTAATTACTTTAACGCAAAAGTCTGCCTTGATGTCCCCTTTCCACAACAAGATGCAACCTGACACACCATGGCAGTACTCTAAGCTGCCAGGTGTATGATATGATGTTCATCCATTGTGACACACACACACACAATACTACTGCATAATGCAAATCTCAATAAATTCATGATTATTTTTAGTAAAATTTGGTGATTAATATGAGTTTGAACTAAACAGCTTCTAATCAAATCAATTATTGTGTCAATAAAATTTCCAATAATATAATTACCTTACTCTTATGAAGGGCTTCTGTCTGAGCCAACAAGGTTCGCAGGTCTTCACTCTGCTCTGTGAACTTGGAGGTGAGAGCTGTGAAGGAAGCTTTGACATCCTCCAGTGCCATTTCCTTATCATCCATGGCAGATCTTAAGGCATTGTTTCTCTGCTTCTCCTGGTCATATTGGGCCTCAAATGTGGACACCTGATAAAATATTGAATTCAGATAGAGAAACTTTACCCCAAAATAAAGGTACGAGTGCAGACTGTAATGTAAATCTGAGGTACAACTGTTCCTATGTGGTGACACCACACAATGTGTCCTAATATATATCTAAATAAAAATATCCAAAAACTATTTCAGGTACTACTGATATTCAATTATTCCAACTACTGTAATCAATGTGTTTCATACAACAGAATATCACTCACAAAGTAACCACAAAGCTATTTTAATCAATAACAGACCAACTATGACAATAATTCCTCAATTAAATAAAATTTCCAAGTTAGGGCATCACCATCCATTAAGTATTACAGTGCTGTACAATATACAATACAGTAGACCCTTGCCATTCACGAGGGATAGGTTCCAAGAAATGGCGCAAATTGGCAAAACCGCGAATAGCAACTTATACTACCTTAGTGCACTACTGTATACCTATACCAAACAACTGACCAGCCATGGCAGCACTCATCCCATCTTTTAACTTACAGTATCTAATAAAAAAACTTTCTTTGTCAGGGTATTCACTGACTTCTGCCTTTTACATTTCACTCCACTATCACTAGCACTGACACTAGGCAGTCTTTTATGGGCCATTTCACACAGAAACACTAAAGTTTTGAGAGTACAACATGAGATGCTGCATGGGGCGACTCACTGTGCTGTGGGAAAAGGCTTGCAAGCTAGCCACTATCTGCTTACTGTAAATTGTTGAAATTGCAAATTGCAAACTCATGAATGGCAAGGGTCTACTGTAATGTACTGTATATACAAAAAAATGGCTTTACAATTGATCTCTCAAAAAGCTTTAAATTAAATTATTTTTCAGACTCACCCTTTTCTTTAGTTCAACATTAGATTTGAGTATCTGCAGTTTTTCCTCCTCTATCTTTCCCACTTCAGTTCGTAGTCTGTCTGTTTCCTCTTCCAGCACCTGTACCACTCTTGAGTACTCCTCTTCTGACAACTGAACGAAGACACAATTATGGCCACCATAAATTTGAAGTAAAACAATAGAAAATATAACTGATCTTTTCCTATTTACCATAAATTTGAGTGACCCCAAAACTAGCCATCTAACTAACTAGGGCAAAACAGAATGTCTCCCTTGAACCAACAGGAACATACGTACAGTACGGTATGACATTGTGCAATATTTTTACTCCTAAAACCCTGCAAATTTTTTATCATATTACAGAACAAAATGACCTAATGTACTTAGAGAGGATAGTGTGTTTCAACTTTGTCCTATGTTTGAATGAAATGCATTTGAGAATGTCCAAGATCCAGCCTTTGATGAGAGAATGAACAGACTAGCTCCTGACCCTGAATATTGCCCAGTTGCAGGCTAAAAAAAAATCTTATTGGATTATGATACCACCCATACACTAACCTGGCCAGCTGGTGGAACGTAAGGAGTGCTGCCAGCCCCAGCCTGTAGGGTCACTACTTGATGTAGACGCTGAACTTCCAGAGCTTGTCTCTTACTCTCTGCTTGGATTAACTCCTTCTCCTGATACAGTATAAATAAAAAATATAATAATAATTTATCCATTGTCTTTACTCCTCTCCCACATAAGTATGGTGTGGTGGATCATGGGCTACAAGAAAACCGTTAAAAAAAAGAGAAGAAAAAAGAGAAAAAATAGTTAATCACATGTAAAAACATACCGAAGTTAATAAGTCAAACTCAATCAAAATTATGAGAAAACTAATCTAAAATCCCATAACAAGGAGAAACACTACACCTTGAGGGAAGTTTCCAGCTCCTGCTTCAACAAGTGAATCTCTTCAGGAAAGTCCTGTAAGGTGGCCGTGTGAGCTTGTTGCATCAGTGACTCTATCTTGCCCTGATAACGTTTATTGGCCGAGACTAGTTTGTGCTGCTGTAATGCCAGTTCCTCCTGAAGATTTTCTATCATCGTCTGCAATAACACACGTGATTAAATTATACAAAACTGTACTGTACATCAGTTAGGTTGTAAATCATTAAAGCTTAAAATACATACAGGTATACTCATACTGTACATATATTGTACAGTACGAACTCTAAGGAATATAGTGAATCAATACCTGTTGTCTTTGTAGGAGAGCAGCTTGCTTCTGGACAGTTTCCTCATAGTCTTGATACAAGATGTCCCTGAATGAAAAAAAAAAAATGAAAACTTCCACTCTAAAAAATGTTTTCACTGGAGGTAACATCTTGCTTGAGACTCTCTTCAACTAAACGCTTTTTTTCTGTGTTTCCAAGCAAATTATTGGTCATTTTGAAATATATTTTACATATTGACAATATATAATGCAGTGCAGTGTTGATTTAAAGAAAATAATCTTGAATTACACCAAGAGAGCTAAAATTTTATGGGTGAAATGGCACCATGGGGTGACTTCTCTTCCACCCCAATGCCTTCTCTTCTTCCTTCTCCTCCACCCCATTCTAAATCCCATCATCATCATCATCATCCAGGGCCTTCACATACATACCTCAAAGTAAGTGAACTTTTCTACCATTTTGTTGAATTTAGAAATTTTCGGTGAGCTGGAACCAATTACCCAAAAACCCATTGAAACAATGGTTTTGGGTTAACGAACTTTTCGGTTAGCGAGCGACCTTCTGGCAGTTGAGTTAGTTAACGGAGGGTCACTGTATATATGAATCAATACCTGTTGTCTTTGTAGGAGAGCAGCTTGCTTCTGGACAGTTTCCTCATAGTCTTGATACAAGATGTCCCTGAATGAAAAAAAAAAAATGAAAACTTCCACTCTAAAAAATACACAGACTTGTTATTTTTTCTGACAGACACCAACATGTGATCTAAAACAAGAAAATCAGTCAAACAAATTTACGTACTGTATCCAAAATTATCAGTAATTTATTCATCAAATGTTTTAATTAAAGACATTGTCATACCTTTCCATTTTTCTTGACAAGATCTGCTTCTACAACAACTCCAAACCTGAAATATAAATAATTTCACTCCAAAATCTGACATTAATACTAGCAGCCTGTAGCACATATTCTTCTCTACACCCAACGGTACACGTTTACTTAAGTGCTGCGAGCAATTTCTCCAGCAAAAACATTTTTTTCCTGCATGAGTTTTGCTGTTTTTTTTTATTGGAGATAGTTTTTTTTTTCTGGGTAAAACAAAAAACTACTGTTTTCTAATCATGGTCAAACATTATTTTTTCAGCTTTTCTGGAGAAATCAATATCCTCCAGTAAATAAAACAGCAAACTTTATGCAGGAAATTTTTTTTTTTTATTTTATGTACACAAAAGAAGCACTAACCTAACCTACCCCCCTCCCCAGAGTGGATATGCAATGTAGTCAGTATTTAACATCCTTATTTGGTTAATACTGTATACAGGAATAACCCACAGACGAATTATTTTTATTATTGTTTATTTTCTTATATTATTTTCATCAGTGAATTCTGTTATGATAATCATTTATTGTGCAAATTTTTCGTTTCACAGATAATTAGGCGCCTAGGCGTGCACTAGTTTGTCTTCCGGGCGGTAATGAGGACCAGAACTGTGCCTGGGGCAATTTGTTTTTCAGCATGTCGCGTGAAGGTTGTTGCAGGTTCTACATGGACGTAATTTGCAAATTTAGGGATAAAGACAATGAGACCCTTCAATTGCTTAAAGACCAGGGCATTATTCCTTTAGATAGAGACTGTCCGCACTGTGGGAATCCCTGTGCTTTCCAACCTGAAAGAAATTTGTTTCAATGTAATAATAAAATTATAAACAAGAAAAACAAGCGGCTGGAGCGTTGTGGCTACAGTTCCAATCCATATAAAGGAACTTGACGTGAAAATGCCAAGACTCATCCCAGTGTTTTGATTTTATTTATTAAATTTTTTTTTTACAAAAATATTTTACACGGAAATATTGTGAACTAACACTTCCTCAATGCTGTGGCTCGACTTTTTCCGCCATCACAGTAAATAACTCCACCGCCCGGGCTCTTTAAGCACCCGCATCATCTCACATCCAGAAAATGCCTCAAATTTCACCAGTTCTTTTTGTTTAATATATCGGGGAAATTAGGTAGGTTTGTTTGGTTTGGTTGGTTAGTTCTGTTCTTCTTACCCACATATGTTAAGTAACGTTTATTTTAAAAATATCAATTTTTTAACACATTTGCACAAACTACAACAGTGTCCACTATAAAATAACAGTGAAAATCAGTTGTTTTTATAATTTTTTCAATCAATTTCGGTCGCGGGTTAGTCCTGTATAATTACCCCTTATTTAACCTTGTAGTGGATTCCTCCCCTACAAGCACCGAACCTTCTCGAATTCCCCAGCCTACGCCTCCAGCGCCGCCCACGGAGCGGGGGTCAACTATCTACCCACGCCTACCCCCGCCTTATAAGGCCTGACACCGCTGTGACCAGCTCTCTTTTCTACCCAGTGCCACCAGCAAGCAACACCTCCTCCGCGCCAGCCGTGCGGCTGCTGCTCCCGCCAGCGACCTTGGCGTCCCTCAAGCCGCGTGCCCTCACTCTGGGAACCCTCACCACCCAGCTCTCTCTACTCAACGCTTATTACCATGCTACCTACCCAGCAACAAGTTGCATTGTACATCCAATACAATATGTATCCAGTGAGCACATTGTGAGTTTCCTCTCTCCATCCCATCCTGAGTGTGAACCAATATCGCATACCCCTACAAATGGTGACCCCGGAGTGACCCGAACACCCAGCCTTCTGATACCCCTACAACCTAACCTAACTTCCGGGGGCTTTGAACGTGCATTCGGTATTATAGTATGAATTAAAAAAAAGAAACACAAACTCAAAAGAGAACACTGTCACTAGCAAATAACCAAAAAAATTAGGATACACCCCATTTCGTAACCCATCCACATCGTCACCGACCCGGTTCGTCACCAAAACCCCAATTCGTCACCAATATCAAATCCGTTTCATCATTAACAATCGCTGGTATTAGTGACAAATTGTTATTTATTATTTTACAAATATGGAAATTACACATGTATACAGACGACTCGGGAAGTATTGTTATTATTATACATGAATATTAATCATTTAATGAAGAAAATTATTAAAACATTGGTAAATAAACAAATGAAAAATTATTGTGTTATTACTATACATGAATATTATTTGTTTAATAAAGAAACTATTCAACTTTGGTAAATAAACAAAATACAGAACAAATGAAGGTGATTTGGCACCAGCGCTTAAAGCACCGAGTAGTAAGTTGATTGCAGGCGTATTAACAATGTTTTTAATTTATATTTTCGTATTTAATCAATTGTCTTAGTGTTTTTTATTATTTTCTATCCCAAGTAATAGTTATTTTCGTGTATATTTTACTTTTATCCTTTTCACCACTGCTCGGCTCTTTAGCCGCTTGGACGATCAGTCACGTCTCTGTTACGCACCGTTGCAAGTACTGGGTATGCACTGGCTCCTGAGTATATCTGAACCTGGTCCAGTGCTTATCCAGTCTAAGCACAAGCTAAAATCTTGCACAAGAAAAGCAAATAATGACAAACAAGAAACGTAACCGATCGCCCAAGCGGCTAACGAATAACGATCCGTGGTGTAGAGTAAAAGTATCTCTGGAAGCTGTGGGACGAATATGAAGAAAAATGTTACCACTTCTAATTTCTTAAAAAAAAGTCAGTGTCTTCTTCCAAGCTTGCATAAGTATTAACAATGTTTTTATTTTTTATTTTCGTCTTGAATTAATTGTCTGCAAGTGTTTTTAT